GTATATATGTATATGTATATATATGTGTGTATGTATATATATATATACATGTGTGTGTGTGTGTGTGTGTGTGTACGTTGCCTTTGACAAAATATAATACCCTTCCGTGATACAAGTCCTGGAGAGATTAGGGATACAAATGATATACCTTATAACAATCCCATAGCCAGAATCAATTAAAATGGAGAGAAACACAAAGCAATTCCACTAAAATTAGGAACAAGACAAGGATGTCCACACTCTCTATACCTATTATTTATATATAATACTTGAAGTCTTAGCTAGAACAATAAGACAACTGAAAGAGATCAAAGGGATACAAGTCAGAAGGGAAGAAGTAGAAGCTTTATATTTGCAGATGATATGATTGTAAACACAAATTATGCTAAAAATTCCTCCAGGAAATTCCTACAACTGATAAACACTTTCAGCAAAGTAGCTACATTCAAAATTAAGTCACAAAAATCGATAGTCCTGCTATATATTAATGATAAACTGAGAAAGAAATCAGGGAAACAACAACTTTCACAATAGTGTCAAATTATATAAAATACTTGCAGTAACTATAAGTATAATAAAAACTTCAAGTTGTTGATATTAAAAGATAGAAAGATATCCCATGCTCACAAACCAGTATAGTTAACATAGTAAAACGACTATTCTACCAAAAGCAATAAGAAATAATTCAATGAAATTCCCCATCAATAGGCCAGGTATTGGTGGCGCACGCCTTTAATCCCAGCACTCGGGAGGCAGAGGCAGGCGGATCTCTGTGAGTTCAAGGTCAGCCTGGTCTACAAGAGCTAGTTCCAGGACAGCCTCCGAAGCCACAGAGAAACCCTGTCTGGAAAAACAAAAACAAAAAAAGAAAAGAAAAGAAAAGAAATTCCCCATCAATATTCCAACACAATTCTTGACAGGTCTTGAAAGGACAATTTTCAGCTTCATATGAAAACCCAAAAATCCCAAGATAGTTAAAACAATCCCCAGTAATAAAAGATCTACTGGAGGTATCACTATCCCCAATTTCAAGTTGTACTACAAGTTATAGCAAGAAAAACAACATGATACTGGCACAAAAATAGACACGTTAATCAATGGAATAAAATGGAAGACTCAGATATAAAACCACACACCTATGGACACCTGAATTTTGATAACAGGTGTAGAAGAATGCAAATAGACCTATAGTTTTCTCCATGAAAAAAACTCAACTCCAAACAGATCAAAGACCTCATCAAAAAACCTGAGCCTGATAGAAGAGAAAGTGGGGGATAGCCGTGAACACATTGGTACAGGAGACTTTCCGAACAGAACACCATTAGCACAGGCACTAAGATCAACAATTAATAAGTGTGATCTCATGAAACTGAAAATCTTCTGCATGGATAATGACAGTGTCATTTGAATAAAGTGGCAATTTATAGGATGAGAAAAGATTTTTTCCAACTATACATCCAATTGAGGACTAATATCCAAAATGTATAAAGAACTAAAAAAAGTTGAATATCAAAAATAAAATAACCTGGTGTAAAAATGGGGTACAGATCTAAATGGAGAATTCTGAATAGAGGAAACTCAAATGGCAGAAACTCTTAAAGAAATGTTCATCGTTTTTAGCTATCAGAGAAATGCAAATCAAAACTATTTTGAGATTTTATCTTATGCCTTTCAGAATGGCTAAGGTCAACAAAAGAAGTAACAGCTCATGCTGGCAAGGATGTGGAGTAAGAGGAACACTCATCCTTTGCTGGTGGGAGGACAAATTTGTACAGCCACTATGGAAGTAAGTATGGTATTTCCTCAGGAAGATGGGAATCAACCTACCTCAAGACTCAACTATACCACTCTTGGGCATATACCCAAAGGACACCTTATCCTACCACAAAGATATTTGCTCGACCATGAAATTGCCAAAATGGGGAAGACAGAGTCCCGACTGGCCATTTCCTGTCACCAAAAAGGCTTCAAGTACCAGAATTGGGGAACATCTAATTGAGTTGTTGGGCAAAGAGGTCCCATCGGAATCTCCAAACAACGCAGGCTGTTGCTAAGGCAATAGGTTGCTGTCCACAAACAACAGCCAGCCAGACTCTATTACTGAAGAAAATACTAACACAACTGATTGAACAAGGAGAAGTTGAGCTGGTGCCTACATAGAGCCTTCGCCTGTATGTTCTAGAGTCTTATGTACAGGAAGCTACTCTGCATACTACCAAAAGAGAAACTTAAACACCAAATCAGTCACAAACCCTTTGATCCACAATGGTGTCCTGCTACAAGATAAGCTAACACAATGGTGGTACCAAGCTTGTGTGAGTAACCAACCAATAACTGATTTGATTTAAGGCGTACTCTACAAGATGGAACCCATACCTGATACTGCTTGGGTGACCAAGAAAACTAGAGACTGGACTGCCCAGGGACCTATGGTATAAACCAAATACTACTGAAGAAGAAGAAAAGGAGGAGGAGGAGAGAAAGAGGGATGAAGAGGAGGAGTGATAAAATGACTCCTAGTGACATTCTGCTATACACCAGAGAAGTTTCCTCCTGCAGCAGATGGGAACAAGCACAGACATCCACAGCCAGACATTATTCAGAGAATGAGAAACCTTGGAACACTCAGCCATAAATGGGATGTCTCAAATCCTTCCTCTCAGAGGTGGGAAAGAGTGTAAGACCCAGACATCATGGAGGACACCGGGAAAACAAGATCCTCTAAATCAGCATGCTCAAACTCATATGAACTCAGAGACTGAAACAGTGCTATGAGATTCCTTTGAGTGTGAAGGATGGGTCTGAAGTTCTTGTGCTTCTCTTGGATTCTTTTCTTTCTCTTGGCTTGTCCTGTTCAACTTCGATGTTATATATTTTGCTATGTGAGAGTTGAGACCAAATTCTTATTTTTTGGTGTGTGTATGCATGTTTGTATGTTTGTGGGCACACGTATGAGGAGACACAAGTGCATGTGTGTGTGCAAGTGGATGAGGTGGTGTTTTCCTCAATAACTCTCCACTTTTATTTGTTGAGGCTGAGTTTCTCACTGGGACCCAGACCATACAATGGGCTAGTCTAGCTAGCTAGCTTGGTTGAGAGATCACTGGTCTCTGACTCCCAGGACTGAGATGGCAGCTCACTACAAGCAGCTGCCTGAAATCGTGCAAGTTGTAGGGATCCGAACTTGTTTCTCGTGTTACCTGGGCATGCGCTTTCTCTAGCAAGCCATTTACCCTTCTTCAATATAAAGTGCATTCAGAGGCTGGGGGATGTCGCTCAGTGTAGAATGCTTGACTAGAAGGAGTGAGGCCTTAGTTTAAACTCCCAGTATATTAAAAACAAAACCCAAAAAAGTCATTAAGCAACGAGTTAATCAATTATTCCTTTTCTCTGTTTTCATTTCTCTTTATTCTTTTATTGAAACACACTTGCACTGTACTTAGTGAGGCATTAGGGTGGTACAAAAGAGCTCTTCTACTTACTAGATTCCCTAGTTATTTCTACTGGTTTCCACCTGCTCTGTTTGGTGTGGTTGTACAGAATAAGGCAATCTGAGGCATCTATAAAGAAAAGCAGTATTTCTCACAGTTCTGGATCAGTGGAGTTTAAGGTGGGAGGGCTCCGTTTGGGGAGAGAGACTTCTTCCTGCATCAACCCGAATCTGAAAGCAGAAGGGCTAACGGCATTTATGAGAAAGCAAAGTCTGCATTTGCAGTTACAAACCCGTGGGCAATAAACATTGATCTGCTCATGAACTTCTCAAGTCTTAAGTTCTAATTAGTCCATCTCGTAACAGCATTGCATTGGGAATTAAGTTTCCAGTATAGTCTTTTGGGGGACACAGTCAAAACACAGCAAACATACTTTGTAGTAATGTAAGATTTAGAGATGAAATATATTTGCAAAATGTCACCGTCTGTAATTGTGGGTCTCTTCAAACAGTAGTTATTAATGGAAGCACATCTGCTCTTGGACACATTAGTCACAGTCATGTGCCTGCCTACCCGCACCTCTCTGGGAAATTTAGAACAAAAGGGGGTCTAGGACTCGAAGCAGGAACAGCCATCCAGTACACTTTGCTATTTATTGTTGACAATGGGCTTTACTAACATCCTGTTAAGGATGGGTGGGAGGTGTGCTCCTGACCTGCTGATAAATATTTCCTTCCATAGCCGGATTCAGCATTTCTTAACGCAACCTTTTATTGTCTTTATTAATACCCTGAGAACCCTGTTTACAATAACGATAAGAAGCACACCACATGCCAAGCACCTTCACAGAGGGGCAAATGTACTTAATCCTTCAACGACCTTGTGTGGTGGAGACCTTCATCACCTAGATACTTGTCAGGTGCCCTATAGGATGGACCCAATAGGGGAAGGGCCATGGTACTAGGGCAGTGCAGGGAGCACGGCAGGCAAGTGGCCTCATTTACAGGGCCCAAGATAAAGTTACGTCTAGGAGAGAAACTTGCAGAGGAGAATGAGTCGGGCGTCGTCCTGTTTCCCTTCTGCTTGTAAAACACGTGGTGAGGAGCCCGCAGGGGTGGTGACCCTACTCCACTTCAAAAGTCTGTAGAACTTCCGATCTGAAAAACTTGAGTTCCACTCCCAGCCTCGGTCAATTAAGTCTTTACAAAGAGGGGCGGGGCCTCTGGGAAACTGACCGTGGGGGCGGGGGGGCGAACAGAACCTCCCAAGTCTCTGATTGGCTAACACGAATGTCTGTCCACTTCTCCCTCCGCCCCATCTCCGAGCAGCCTTGCCACTGGAGGCGGTCGCTAGACGCCGGCCACAGTGCCAAACAGGCAGGGGGCGTGCCCCTGGGGGGCGTGCCGGAGCGCGCCCCGCCCCCGGCCTCCAGCCCCGCCCCCGCCCGCCTCCGCCCCGCCCCCGGCCCGGCGCGGCTGCCTCCTCCGCGCCGCGTCCTCAGGCTCTCTCAGTCCTCGCCGCACGCCGTTGCCTCTCGGCCTGAGGACGCCTCGCGCCCGCAGCCCCTTCCCGGCGCCGGCGCCGCTCTCCGCGGCCAGCGCTCCGCACAGGGTCGGCCGCCGCGTGCCCGTCTCGGCCGCGGCCTCACCGTGCCCCCGGGCGGGCCATGGAGGCGGACGGGGCCGGCGAGCAGATGAGACCGCTACTCACGAGGGTAAGGAGCGGGGAGGCCGAGGCCCGCAGACAAAGGCGGCGGCGCGGCGGGGCTGCCGGCGGCCTCTGTCGGCGGCCGCGCGCCGCCGTTGCCTTTGTGTGGCGGGGGTCGCGGGGGGCGGCAGCCCGCGGCCGGCCTGCAGCCCTCCCCCCGCGGGCGCCTCTCCCGAGGACGCGCGTGTCCACCGGCCGCAGCGCCCCGCTCTCAGCCTCGCGGCGCGGTCGCCGTGTTCTCCCGCCGCGTGGACGCCGCGGTCCTTCAGCCAGCCCCGGCTGCTCTTCCCTCGCCCGCCGCCCGGCAGCTTCTGGCCCCACCGTCGGTGCCAGCGCTCTGTGGAGTGTCGGGTCGCAGGCCCAGGAGAAGGACCGTGTGACACGCGTGTCCTCCACCGGGCCCCATAGAAAGAGAAAGGACCGCGTCACCAGCCCAGCAGACCCCGCTTTCCCAGTGACACTAGCAAGCGACGTGGGTAGGGGTGGGCTTGCAAAAGTGGGGTTCTCATTTAGACGAGGAGGGACAAGTGGCCCTTTCTCAAGACACAGGGGGTGCACATGTGCCGCACAGTGGAGACGGTCTTCTTTCATAGGCTATGACTCAAAAGGATGGGGTGGTATTAATTTTCCGACTTGCAGTTTTTACTCTGACCAGCGAAAGGGGAGGGAAGGTTGTACAGATAAATTTTTTCCAGTCTTTTCACAGCAAGGAAAACAACTTTGCACTTTTTTTAAGGTAGAATTTTTCTTAAGGTCCCCTTCCTATGTTAGCTTTAAGATTATTGTGGAGGCCACAGGCAGTGGTCCTTCATCGCTTCACCGTATTTCACATGTAAGTTCTTTAAATATAAAGGGGAACTTGAGTCTGAAGACGGTGAGTTCCCTCCACAGTGGTTATGGGTGGGTATGATGGGTCACAGTGATGGCGAACTGGAAACTTAAAGGATTCTTTTTATGGTCTTTGAAAGATGAACTGTTAGACAGCACTTTCTGCTAGAGCGTCTGTCAAATACATTGTTGCTAGTTTTTACCCTTATTTGCACATTTTCAGCGGAACAGTAAACAGTATCTGTTTTCATAAAGCTGGGCAGCAATGGTGTGTTCTCAAACACTGCCTAAAGGCGATTCATTCATTCATTCACTCACTCACTCATTCATTCTGTGCAGTAACTTACTAAAATCTATTCTGCAGTGTCCGGAGTAGAGCCAGCTTTTTCCTAATGGAAGCTTCATTCGAAGGAGTGTGGGTGTGTCTACAATGAAGGACAGGACAGGGGACTAACAGATGGCTCTCGGTTCTGGTATTAGTGGCAGGATAGGAGAGTAGGAAAATCATACTCCCTAAGTCTTTGGGAGAATAAAACGGCAATCGGAAACTTACAGAAAACAATAATAGCAATAACATTTAGCAAGCTTTCAGTCCAAAAGAAGCTATGGAAATGGGCAGAAAGGGTGGTGGCAGGCACTCTGCTTTTTGAAAAGTGGGACACTGACAAAGTTAGAGCTGTCCATGCTCACTTTACTTTGATAAGTGAAAGTCATGAAAGTGAAATACTCTGATGTTTGCCAATTACAACTTTTTTTTTTGAGACAGGGACTCACATTGTCCCCCAGGCAGGCCTCAATTTTTCTACAATGCTTCTGTCTCAGCCACACTGGAGCTAGGACCACAGGCATGAGCTACCATGCTCAACTCTCGGTTATAACTGTTAGCTCACAACTGACTGTTTGACCTAAGCAGAAGAGTATACTAAAATTGATACTTACGGACCACCTGAAGTTTATAATTATGCAAAAAAAGTGAGTGGCCACTAAGTTGGTGGCCATTTATATTACTCTGAAAATGGGATCCATAATTTCATAAATTAGTATCTAAGGTTTCTTCTAGAATTATGGTTTTCACTGATCATAGCGTTGGGAGGAAAACTCTTTATTTCACATTATTTCTTGTTTTGAGGGTTTGAACTGGGCGAGGGAAAGCCCAAAAGTGCTAGGCTTGTGCCACCATGTCTTGCTCTGCAACTTTTGTTTCACTTTAATAAAAATGTCACAATTGTAGGTATCACTTAGAATTTATCAGAGTCTTATTTTTTAGTGCATGGTAAGTAGTTATTTGTAAGTCATATTTTCTAGTGTAGGCTACTGTTTCTCTAGTTTTTAGCAAATAAGCTTTCTTTTGAGCATTTTGAGAATGTTCCATGAAAATGTTCTATGATTTCTTTCATTTTTAGGCTTTTTATTGTTTTTGTTTGTTTGTTTTTTGACACAGCTGTTGCTGCTCTGAGTAATAGCCCTGGCTGTCCTGGAACTCACTTTGTAGGCCAGGCTGGCTTCCAACTCACAGAGATCTCCTTTCTCTGCCTCCCTAGTGCTAGGATCAAAGAAGTGTGCTCTACCCACCTGGCTTTTTTTTTTTTTTTTTTTTTTTAAATGAAAGGTTTCCCTGTGTATTTGAGGCTGATCTTGAATTCATCATGTATTAAAGTGCAGCAACCTCCTGTCTCAGCCTCAGATCCTGGGATTATAGGTGTATTTCACCTCACCCAGCTTCTCTTCTTAGTGTTTCATGGATACTGGGTACTGGGAAAATAGACCAACAAGGTAGATGGAGTCCTGCCTTCAGTTTATTTTTGGCATATTGGGAGAACACAGTGGTAGTCTTTGCATTCCATTTGTGAATGCCAGTTAAAACATTTCATGATTCTGTTAGGAATAGTTCTTGAAACATAGATATTAGGCTAAATGGAATAAGACTCCAATAACATAGGTTTTGTGAGTCTGTAAATAGCCTCATTTTGGGGAACTGGGTTGCTATCAACAATTTTAGGTATATGGCACCCCAGGCATATTACCATAACTCCATTAACCTTTTTGACTTACTTTTGGTAATTTGAGGCTATCGTAGGTGAAAATTGAAAGCCATAGTACCCTGGCATTGGAGGAACCTAGTATAACATTTTAGTGGTGTATGGTGTGCTAGCCAATATATATACTTAAGCTTTGGTAGTTACTTGTCAACATCCTGTAATGGGTTGTTTTTCTTCCTCTTTCTCTCTTCTTTCTTACTCTGTCTTACCACAAATAAGATCTTAAAGCAGATAGGATTTGCAGCTACACAAAGGGCTGTTTATGTAATGGAGTTTATGGGTTGTTTATAAGGTTAATGCTATGGGTTGGTTATAGATCTACATATCTTTTTGGTGTGTGTGTGTGTGTGTGTGTGTGTGTGTGTGTGTGTAAGAGGAGAGAGAGAGAGAGAGAGAGAGAGAGAGAGAGAGAGAACAAAAGAACAAGAGCACTTGGAGGTCAGTTTCTGGTGTGGAAGTCAAGTTCCAATGCACCGTCTTCTGCCTCAGCTTCCATACAGCTGGGGTAATAAAGACATGCACTATTTTACCCTCCTGCAATTACCATTCTTTTGTGCTTTCAGTAATTTTCAGTTCTGAAGTAGTGTGTATCAGTAAGAAACTTACTTTAATTTTTACTAACAATAAAATATGTACTTAATTTACCAGACGGTATCACATATTTTGTTGAGATTCAAGGATCTGGAAAAGCTGTGCTTTTGATGATGCTAAACCACCAAGGGGCCTGTGATACAGGCTTTAGCAGTGCTGAGGGCTGGAAGACTAGAGAAGTGCTAGGATGGCCTATGACTCCTATGGCAAGATCGGATTAGGACATTTTGTGGGTTTGATATAGATTTGCATTTTCTCTAGAACTGATACTACTTGAATTTTAATGCATTTAGTGAAGCACCTTTTTAAAAAATATTTATTATGCATACACCTTTTTATCTGTGTACATGCTTGTACTCCAGGAAAAGGCATCAGATCTCATTATAAATGGTTGTGAGCCACCATGTGGTTGCTGGGAATTGAACGCAGGACCTCTGGAAAAACATGTAGTGGTCTTAACCTCTGAGCCATCTCTCCAACCCCCAAAGCACCTTTATTTTTTTTTTAAACCATCACAGTATAGAAATGAAGAATTACAGCACATTTTGACAAAATGCTTTAGTATTTTAAATACCCTATTCTTTCTTATGCAGAGAGTGTCATGTGGACTAATGCAATTTGCTTCCCATTCTGTTCATATCTCTGGAGATACTCCTCTGTCTGTGGATTCCAAGATTGTATTACTTGTTTTTCACTAGATTGCCCAGTTTGAGAAGCTGTTGATTGTATATCACTTCTGATGAAGAACTTAAGGCTGTATCTTTGAAAGTAGAGTCATAATCATAAGATGCACACTTGATTAGGAAGATGTGAAGGGGAAGGTGCTGGAAATCTTTTCTTTGCAACTTTCTATAACATAATTAATAACTTGGTGTGCTTGTGCTGTGTATACTAGTATATACACAATTTCCCTACCTAATAATATTTATTTTTAAAAAGTTCTCTTTGATACAAGTCTTGCTGTGTAGTCCAGGGCTTGGTACTCTCTCAGGCTGGCATTGAAAATTTTGTCCCCTTCCTGCCTCTGCCTTTAGAGTTGTGTCAGTACATTAACTTATTGCTATTTTTAGTTTTGGGAAAATGCTAAAGGCATGCAGAATCTCTTTTGTTTTAAAAATCATTGTATTTAGTAAGAAAATGAATCAGATTCATGTAGAATCTCTTTCTCTTGCGTCTTTCTGGTAGAACTGCAGATGCTTTTTTTCTAGGAAGCATAGGGTCTACAGGGTCTTACTCTGTAACCCCGTTTGACCTGTATGGACCAGGCTGTCCTTCAATTCACATGGGTCCTCTGCCTCCTGATTAAAGGCATGTGCCACCATGCCCAGTAGAAACAATTTTTATAGAATAATTTTACCCTTTGCCATGAAGATATTATTTTTATTTGGAAAATATCGTTCTAAACTTCAGCAGTTTTAAGTATTTGTATGGTTGGCTGGAGTTTGGGTAAAGAGGAGAACAGGGAAGTGAGGGGGAAGACAAGTGCCAGTAGACTAGAGGATATAAATTCCTGTGGATACCTTTAGGTAGGTGTGGTGTCCAGTGGGGT